CTCCAGGCTCTGAGCCATCAGCCCAGAGCCTGACGCGGGGCTCAAACTCACAGACCGCGAGATCGTGACCTGGCTGAAGTCGGACGCTTAACCGACTGTGCCACCCAGGCGCCCCGAGTATCATCAGTTTTGATTGTATAAATGTACCACCACCACCCCCACAACAGTAAACTTCTATTATTTTTCAACACTTAATGCCTTAAAAGTTTGAAAATGATTCTGGGATTAGTGGTAATTTCAGAAGAGTGCTCAAAGTGGGTTTAGTTGCTCCCCTTCGATTTACTGCATGCTCCTATGAAGTGCGCCTCATGGAGCACATAGGCAGGACACTGTACATAGGTGCCTGTCGAAGCTCCTGGGTTTTCATAGATGTCAGCGCCACTGTATGCGTTTCAGAGTCTAAGCCACAGCCGTTTATGAGTCAGTGCATGACTACCTCAACCGTAGCCACTCCTGCCTACCTCGTGTCCTGTGCTCTCCTGCAGCCCGTCGCTGAGGCACCGTTCAAGTTCGACATGGAGCTAGACGACCTGCCCAAGGAAAAGCTCAAAGAGCTCATCTTCGAAGAGACGGCCAGGTTCCAGCCCGGATACAGGTCTTAAACTTGTCAGGTACCTAGAGCTTTAGCCGTATAAACCCTGGCTATGGAGAGAGAATATAAATTAAATATTACTAAAAAGAAAAAGGAATTTCCTTGAGCTCCACGTGGCACTTCATGTGCTTAACAGAAAGGGTGGTGGACAATGTAGTGGTATCAGTAGGTTTTTAAAAACTGGGTGTTCCAAGAAAAAAGGAAACACAGATCTTGCTTTTAGAGAACATACAGAAAGAAGAGAAGGAATTGTGTGAGAACTCCGGAGTGAGCAGAGGAGTGAGAATTGTGTTGAACCCTGTAGAAATGAGCAATAAAGTAAAGAATTATGACCCAGGGCCTGAAGCATTTGCTGGGGAAATGCTTTGGACAGACCAGCATGGGAGGGGCTGGAGGTGTTTTTCCACAGGCACCTGTGTCATGTGCAGCATTCCGACTAGTGGCCGTGGGGCTGCTGTGCTTGCACCAGAACTGGAGGCTTTCTGGGGGCACGTAGGGAAGGGTGGGTTCTGTGACAGTCTAGTATAACTGTTTTCTCTGCTCCATTCTTCCCTGCTCTGTCCATTCTGTTTTCATGTATTGGGATCTGGAGATGATGGTTCAGGCTGAGAGTTGGCAGTACAAGGCTCAAAAGCAGAAGCTACTTGGGGTGTTTCACAAGAGGACATATAACTGATCAGAGGGCATTAGAAGGTCTAGAGAGCAAAGCAGGTGGAGTTACCTGCAGATTAAACAGCAGGAAGTTGTTCCTAGTCTCCACCTAAAGGAGCAAAAGAAAAACCGTGTTAGCCAGGGTCCTTGATCGTCACACAACGAGGGTGCTGGGCACCTGCTTTAACTGCAGCTGTTAGAGCATCACCCTCACTGAAGAGGGGTCAGGAGCCTCTACTGCCACTGATGTGGGGGATCTCTGGAGCCTGAAGCCACCATCACTATCCATTGCCTCTGAAGCCAGGAGCCCTCCTCCTCCTAAAAAGTCCTGTGTCACTAAGAAGCAGAAAAAAGGAAACCTGGCTTGTGTGCCAGCTATTGGCAGAATCTCGTCAGAAGCCAGTCTCCAATGAAGTTCAGCAGTGCAGTTCACAAGCTCCAGCCCTGTCATTAAGAACAGAGGACAGAGGAAAGGTAGAATGGATCTGAGAACAGACGTGGCCAGATCAGTCTCAGAGAGCTGTGGAAGCCAGGCAGAGTAAGAGTTGGGAACCAGTAGGGGGTACACTCTTCTGAAGTGTGGGGGACAGAAAATGTGGTTTTCAGAAGAAGTCTGACAGGGAGTGTTGGAGAAGACTGAGTGGGAGATGAGTTCAAAACAGATCTGTAAGCTTCCAGACCGAGGGCTAGAGGCTTGGACGAAGGCTGTGGAGGCAAGAAGCAGTGCATTCAGGAAAATGGAGGGAACACAAAATCTGAAAGACTTCACATTTCCTAACCCTAGCATCCAGGGGTCAGGGGGAGCTTAGCCTAGCACTGGACGTGTCCTAAAAAACAAACTCAAAGTAAGTGAAGTGTGGAAGGAGCATGTGTTCACAGGACATTAGGAGCATGCTGGTAAACAAGCCCTTGGGGAAGTGTCTGAAGGAGAGAGAGAAGGTGGGAAGGTCTTAGCAGGGAGCTAAGGAGAACAGAGTCTTGCAAGGATTGGATTCATTTATCCTTCCATACTTCATGGCATGACCGTCTGTTAAAGTATTTGTTATGTACAACAATCTGCAAGGGTACTCACTGACAGAAATCCATCCCCAGGACCCAGCCATTTTTACCCCTTGAGTCTCCTTCCTGGTCTCTTTGCTCACTGTGGAAACGATCTTCCCTCTCCCAGAGCCTGCTCTCCTTTCCCTGTGTCTGCACAAGTCAGATCATCTGCCTCCAGGTTTGGTAGATAAAGTTTTATCAGGCCCTTTACATGAAGAGGTTCGCTGACCCCTGACCTAGAATATTGAGCTGAGCTGCTTCATTCAGTTGCTTTTCTTCCTTCACAATCCCTTTAACAGCTCGTGTTCCTGAAATAGCCTCTTGATGGCCTCTGTTTTTACCCATCTTGTTCTTGTTTGAGTTCACACATACCGCATGCTTCCTCTGAGCCAGGCTCATGGGTGAGCAGAACAAACAAACCTGAAACCGGCTTCAAAGGCCACACAGTCTAGTAAGGAACAAAGACACACAGAACTGCCATGCATGTTTTTAGTGTAAAAGAGTACCCAGGACTGACATAGTTAGCAGTTTTTCATCATTCATTTGCTCACCATTGAGCATTCCTAGTTCCAGGTAGGAAGACAGCAAAGATGAGTAAGACCCAGGCTTTGCTTTCTAGCAGCTTGATGGCAGGACACAGGTAGACAACAAGGAGTCAGACACAGTGTTGTGGGTGCTGTACCAGGATAGGTGTGGGCCCCAGAGATTGAGGAGGGCCAGCATCAGGGTGCTGGGAAGGGAACACTCTGCTGTGTGGGGAGGCACTCAGCAGTGTGGGGCCAGGGAGTCAAGCCCGCATGGGAGACTGAAGCCCAGGCTTGCGAAGGAGCCCTCCTCTCCCAGGCTGCTTCCTGTCGTAAAGCATCAGGGCAGGTGACTCTAGGGCAATAAGGATGTTGGGCGACCTCAGAAAACAAGCACTCTTGGGATCACTGGCCCAGCTACTGGAGGAAAAGGGCAGTGCAACAGCCACGGGGGGGGGGGGGGGGGGGGGGGGGGATGGCGGCAAGACAAAGGCAAGGATGCTCCTGGAGCTTCAGGGCATGGGTGCTGGCCTGTTGCCTCCTGAAGTCCAAATTAACAGGCTGAGGTTCAGGCAGCTGCCAAGGTCCACCCCAGTTCTACAAGCCCAGGACTGGGGCTTGTTACCAGGGAAAGGGGTGGCAAAGACGGTCACTCTGTGTTTAGTTTGCTTTATAGCCTAATTTTTCCCCCAACTTTTTGTTACTGAATTATAATTGACATAACAATCTTTAATTTCAGGTGTAAGCATAATGTGATTTTTATACATTACTTCCACTGTTTTTTAAATTACAATTTTTATTCTGAAAAGTTGAGTTTTACAATAAAAACCCACATTCCCACCACCTAGATTCTGTGATTAACACTTTGCTGTGCATGCTTTCTCACATTCTGTTCCATCTGTTCCTCCATCTAAGGAGGTTGGCAGCATCAGGACTAGCTTATAATTTAGTCACCTGGAATATAAAAGTGAATCCAGAGGAAGGTGGAGCTAGGGGCATTCATCAAATTCTGGGCAGTTTCTTACACAAACATTATTTTGATGATTACAGTAGCAAGTCAGCACACAGCCCATGTTTATGATCGAGGAAACCGAAGATGTACTAAGCATTTTGCTGAAGATTGTATCCTGGTGGCAAAATTAGGCAGGCCCAGGTCTTTTGGACCAAGAATCCCATTTTCTTACAAGCTTTCCACACTGCCTTGGGGTAGTTCTGTGCCCTGGAAAAGGTCAAGGAACTCGTTCATAATACTGTGCAGCAGTGTCACTGAGTTCCCAGCCTATAACACTGAGATGAGAAGCTACAAACTGGAGAGTCAGGGAGATGCAGGTGTTGGGAGCATACAGGAACGTTAGAGAAGGGTGATGTTGACTGCCCAGCTACGTAGGAAAGAGCTGAAAAACATGCCCACACAGGACCTCAGAGCACAGCCATAGGGACCCCTATGGGGGCGGGAATGACAAAGACTACTCCAGAGGAAGCCCCTGCTTGCTGGATAAAGCTCACAGGCTTTACTGATGCCCTGAGTGGGCTTAAAGAATCAAAGTGTGTTCATTATATTTTGTTTAAGTGGGTCAGTTTTAGAAATGTGTCCACTAAAGTTAAGAATGTGTATGTGGTTAACTTTGTGACAGGCCTCCTGTTCTCAGAGGCTGGTACCTGCCTTTCTCCCTCATCTGCCTGTTGGTGAATTTTCTCAGGTAGATTGATTAATTTTCTCCCAGCCGATAGGTTTGGCTGCAGTTCAGAACAGCATACCTCTAGAGAGGGGTCATTTCCCATCTCTGAGCCCGTCTCCCCATCACAGATTTGGGTTATAAGACCCATCCTTCCTGCCCTGACTCTTGAGTCAGGTAAAAGCCATCTTGTCCAAAAGTGCTTTGTGAAATACCAAAGTGACATTCTGCTGGATCATACTAGCAAACATTTCACAACAACAAGGGTCTCTCCAAAGAAAAGGTATATTTGGTTTGCATTTTGACACACTTAGTTACCTTCCCAGCCATCTCAAGCAGGCTTCTTCATCAGAACCAAGAACACAGAACATGACTGGGGTGGTAATGTTTTCACTTCTCCCTGGGGTGATACAAAACTAACGGAGACCTGGGGATGAACTTAATTCATTACATATGGATGTCTTAGGCAGTGGTTCTCCAAAGTGTGGTCCATCTGTGCCCTACCCCCTAGCAATCTGTATTTTAACAAGCTCTGCAGAGGATCCTGATGCTCACCCTTGAGAACTGCTAGTCTATAAAGGGTTAAGGTAGGTTTGATTTGTAATGTGACCTCTTCAAGGAAAATAGAGATACCACAATAATGAGGGCAGATGCGTGCTACTTGCACTTTGATGGTGTGACGATCCTAGTGGACCTCTTGCAGGAGACCCATATGCAGACATCTGGAGAGCCAGGTGGGCTCTGTCAAGTGTAGTGAGCTAAGTGAGCTCACTTAGTGTAAGTGTAGTGTAAGTGAGCTAAGGCTATCTTCAGATGCCACCTGCTGCCTTTCAGGGTGCTGTCCTGGAGACCTGGTGGGGAAATAGCTGTCAGATCATCTCTGACCTGGGCAATGAGAACCATCTCTTGCCCGTGGGAACCAAGCCACAGTTCCTGCCTCACCGGCATTTAGGCCTGCCAACTTTCATACTTCAACCAGCACTTCATTTTAGTCTTGTTTTGTCAACAGTCAGCGGAAACTTGACCATTAAAACAACACACTTGACGCTGTGTGGTTGATTCTGTCCTACCTGGTCATCTAGAGAGGAAAAGAAACTTGGTAAGAATAGGAGGCAGCAGGGGTGCCTGGCTGGCTCAGTCAGTGAAGCACTTAACTCTTGATCTCACAATTGTGAGTTTGAGCCCCACTTTGGGCATAGAGATTACTTTAAAAAAAAAAAAATAGAATAGGAGGCAGCAGACAAGCATTTTGCATAAATGTGTGTTCTTTACAAAGACCTTCAGATTCTGGTTTTGACCATAGGAGTGGTGGGTATCACAGTTAATAAAAGGCATCTTGGGAACATGGGGTGGATGCGTGTGTGTTTCCTGTGAGTGTCACAGAAATGTCCTCTGAAGTGTCCGAGAAGAGACGCCCACAGACTGAAGGCAGAGCCTGCCCCTTAGGAGCTGCCCTGTGGTGCATAGGCTGAGTGGTTCCAGGTGAAACGACCTTATTGCAGGAGTGCTTTTTCCTTTGCTTTTTTTTTTCTTTTTCTTTTTCTTCACTTTTCCAGTTTTTGTAATGATGTTGTTCATTCTTTTCACTTCTCCATTTTCCTAATGCTGCTGCTAATGTTGTTTTAATGTGGGTCATTCTTAACTCATAGACTTACTTGTTTGTTTTTCAACAGGACAAGGGCTCAGAGGACTGGATGTGCTCAGACATCGGTGTTGTTCTTCCCAGTTCTTGACCCCGGTCCTGTCTCCAGCCCGTCTTGGCTTATCCACCTTGACTCCTTTGAGCTGTTCGGAGGGTCGGTTTCTGGTAGTTGTGGCTTTTATGCTTTCAAAGAATTCCTTCAGTCCAGAGAACTGTTCCTGGCATCCCTGTGTGTGTCACCCACCGGTGACCTGTGGCAGTATGTACTTTCAGTGCACCTACTGCTTACCGTTGCTTTAGTCACTAATCGCTTTCTGGTTTGAAAGATGCAGTGGTTCCTCCCTCTTCTGAATCCTTCCTAGGTGACGCCCTGCTGACCCATGCAGTCACACCAGAGATAGTTCTTTCCAAATTGGCTCTCGTCACTGGCATCTCACTTTATGATAGGGAAGGCTACTACCTAGGGCACTTTAAGTCAGTGACAGCCCCTTATTTGCACTTTTCACCGTAAGCATGTCCCCAGAGCAGGAGTGTGTGGAAACACCTGGGATGACGTTGCAGCCTGCGGTGAGTGCTCCCGTCTCGGGAATCTTTGGGGGCGCTTGCCCTTGTCTTTTTTCATATCATGTTAGTCACTAACATATTTAAGGTCTGTGCTATTTGCCCAGCTTTTAGGAAACTCAATCATTTTTCTAAAAGAAAGAAGTACTGCATCCAGCAGCCTCATTCTGTAGATTTATTGTGATTACTTGTACCATTTACAGAGGTATAACACTTGCCAAAATGTGTTATCTGCAGTACTGTTTCCAAGGCTTATGCAGAACGATTTAAAGTGGCAGCTGCACTCGGCATTTAGTGAGAGATGTACACAGGTCACAGCAGGGTGCTAAGGAAAGTGTCTGGAGAAGCAGCCATCAGGCCACACCAGCCTCTGTCACGGGGCAGAGCTCCACACACAGGTGTACGTATACCCCAAGCTACGTCAAGTGGTGTGCCACATCCAGTGTAACCACATTCAATGCCTCAGGATTTAGAGAGGAGCCCTGCGTCTTTAAATGAGAAAGTGTACAATTCTTTTTCCTCCTACAGCATGTCAGCATCTCAAGTTCATTTTTCAACCTACAGTATAACAATTTGTAATAAAGCCTTCATGAGCTCATGACGTGAAGCACTGTTCTGTCATCAAGTATTCTCAAATGTTTCTGATACTGCTGAGCTAAGACCATGAGAAAAAGCTAGCACTAAATCATGTTTGGAGCTCTATCCCATATTATATTGATCTCTTTAAGTATTTGTTCCCTGCCACTGCACACTGTGGCGTTGACTTGGTGTTCTGTCCCAGTGCGGTGCCTCCTCTTGACTCCCCCACTGCTCTCTGTGGTGAGAAATTTGCCTTGTTCAATAATTACTGTACCCTCGCATGACTGTTACAGCTTTCTGTGCAGAGATGACTGTCCAAGTGCCACATGCCTATGATTGAAACGAAAAATTTATTGTTACCTCTGAGTTTGTGTTCCACGGAAAATGCTATCCAGCAGATCACTTAGGAAAACTAATTCTATTTTTAGCTTCTTATTTCTCAGCTGTCCTTTTTTTCTTGTTTGATTTTTGACAGCAATGGAGAATGGGTTATATAAAGACTGCCTGCTAATATGAACAGAAATGCACTTGTAATTCATGGAAATAAATGTACATCTTCGATCTTCATATTCATGTTAAGATTCAGTGTTGATTTCCTCTGGATCAGCGTGTCCAATGGACAGTCAGCTTCAGTTTGTGCTTGGAGCAGAAATGCTTGTGGGCCTCCCCTTCCCATGCGGGCACTGCCCTGACACTGGTTTACATAAAATGATTTAGAAGGCATTTTTGTAGGGTCCTAGTTTCCCTTTGCACAGCAGAGAATCAACTCTGACGTGTTTCTTTACTCAAATCATAGGTCTAAAATACTGTCAAACTCTGATGAAGAAGCCCAGACATCTCAGTTTGGAATCTCTGGTTCTTTCTAAAGAGGGCCTGCCTGTGTGCCCCAAGCCTCCTGCTGGGCACAGCCGGGTGCTGGGAAGCTTTGTCCGGTGTCACTTGGCCCACACCACCTGGCCCAGGGTGCTGGTGCTCACACGTCACGGGCTAACGAAGGATGGCAGACTCCGCCTCAGAGATCAGAACCGCATCTAGAATCTTGCCCAAAAGTACGTGGTTTTTCACTTCATGCTCAGCTGCCATGGAAAGGTCTGCAGGGCACTGAGAGGATAGAGGTTTGACTGTTACCTGAGACATTGATGAGTCAGTTTCCATTTTAAAAGGAGCATTGACAGTTTTCCTACTCTTTTTCTTTGTACTTTTTAAATGGAATGTTAGTATTTTTAGGAGGTAAATCTGCAGTCCTCTAACCAGAAAGCCATAGCCTTGGTTACTAATACTTGAGGACTGTGGGCTTTCCCATCCCCTCCACGGAATTGTGGAGTCACATTGGCATGAAACCACTAACTGCGTTCCAGCAACACTGTAGCTGTAAGTTGTGTGCTTTTTTAATCATGCCAAGCTTGGCTTAACAGGTCAGAGAATTGTCCTAATCAAGGTACCTGTGAAAAGTACTAGCTATTATGTGTGATAGGCTCATCATTTGGATCCTCTTAACATCTCTAAAAATGTCCTGATTAGGTATCCAAATTCATACTGGTGACAATGCCTCCATTCTTAGTAAGCTCAAATAAACTTTCAGACTTAGGGCTTTTTTTTGGTGTCTAAAAAGCAAGCAAAAAATTCCTGTTGAAACATTCCAATCTTTTCATTTAGTAGGAAACAAAATAACTAAGCCAGTGGAATGAATTCGAGCGAACTCATGACTCTGCTGACACAAGTCTTCAGAGCTAATGGAGACATGCAGACCATTTTGATGCATGGGTAGAAGAATATCGTGGTGTTTGTGTGCAGTACACAGTGTATGGTATGTCCACAGTTCTGCTGCTGCAGGCATAGGCGATGGGCGTGTAGGGTCCTGTCAGCTTTTGGCGCCATACATGGCTCGTCAGTGGTTCGATCTACGTAAGGAGTCACCCAGGTATACTGCCCACGCCACATGCCACATAATGTTCAGACCATTCAGAGGAGACTGTTTTACCTTTATTTGCTTATATGTTAATATGGTTTTTAAATTGGTAACTTTTATATAGTATGGTAAACGGTATGTTAATACATACATATGCACACATGCTTTGGGTCCTTCCATAATACTTTTATATTTGTAAATCAATGTTTTGGAGCAATCCCAAGTTTAAGGGAAATATTTTTGTAAATGTAGTGGTTTTGAAAATCTGAGTAATCCTTTCGCTTATACATTTTTAAAGCATTTATGCTTTAAAATTGTCCTGCTGGTGTTTGAAATATGATAACTCCTATAGTGCAGATGAGAAGCATGTAACAGTAGATATGTGGTTTCTCTCACTGTAATCCAGCTCAGCATCATGGATTGGAAACGACTGAGAATCCAGAAGGAATTCTCTGGGGTTGCACCAGGTTTACCTGAAGCTCGTTGCCTTTTTTGTGCTGTTTATGCGTGTAGAGCACTCGAGAAAGTTCTAAAACTGCTTTGTATCTGCTTTGTACTGTTGGTGCCTTCTTGGTATTGTACCCCAAAACTCTGCATAGATTATTTAGTATAATGGTAAGTTAAAAAAAATGTTAAAGGAAGATTTTATTAAGAATCTGAATGTTTATTCATTATATTGTTACAGTTTAACATTTATTTGTGGTATTTGTGATTTGGTTAATCTGTATAAAAATTGTAAGTAGAAAGGTTTATATTTCATCTTAATTCTTTTGATGTTGTAAACGTACTTTTTAAAAGATGGATTATTTGAATGTTTATGGCACCTGACTTGTAAAAAAAAAAAACTACAAAAAAAATTAGAATCATTAAATTGTGTCCCTGTGTTACCAAAATAACATAGTGCTGTGCATGTATAGTTTACTTGGAATTTCATATGTGAAAATATGAAGTCATCTAGGCCTTTATTACAATACCTCCCCAAGTAAGTGTGTTCATATTTTGACTTTGCTTACAGTAATCAGTGATAGAACCATAAGCTGGTGCTCTGGAGGTCAGTGGGATTTTAGCACTCTATTGGGTTTTCCAGATTCTTCTTCAGACATTTGGCTATAGAGGGGGTAAGATGGCAGTGCTGGGAGTCCTGACACAGCACCCATGTGCATCTCTTCTCGTCTTCCTGCACTTCAGCCACTGCCGCCACGGCAGGTGTCCTTGGCAGCCTCTTTTTTCAGATCAAGATGTCATGAGTGTATTAGGGACTCTCGGACATTTGGTTCTTCTCAATTTGGGGCATCATACAGTGACTTATTTACAGGACAGAAACACTGGAAATTTTTCTGAATTGGTGGTATAGAAGGAACACAGGCTTTGGGCCCGTAAATCTGGGTTCAAAACCTGCCCTCTGCTTATAACTGCAGCTGACTTTGGGCCAGTCATTGTGCTGCTCTGTGCTTCAGCCTGTATGCTCAGACCTTTGACTGTAAAGTGGAACCTTGCATGTCGTAAAGATTATACAAATATATTTTAAGTTTCTAGCCCAGTACCTCAAAACAAACAGTAAATGGAAGATCTTCCTAAATGCTTTGTTTGTTTGTTTGTTTGTTTGTTTGTTTGTTTGTTTGTTGTAAGGTAGCACTAAGATGTCTGCTAACCGAACTAACTGCTTTCTATTCACCTGAGAGGGGAGCACCTGTCTGAAATTTTCTTCAGGGAAGTGAGCTGATCTCACCTAAATTGATAGGTATTTGAAACACTTATAGAATTATCACATTCATTTTGCCTTTGAGAGATTAACACCCTTTGTTGTTGTCCACATCCTACAGAAATCAATTATAATCATCTTTCTTATTCAGCACAAGTTACTAATAATCATGTTTTTTTCCGCATTAATTATGATGAGCTCCTTACCTTAGCAGTAGCGCAGCCATTCCAGTTGGCAGCACAGACTTACATCTTGGTTGGTTCTCTGTATTTAATCAGAACCAGAGCATTTAGAGCTGACCAGTGGCCACAGAGCAGCTCTCTGAGAAGAGCAGAAGCCAAGCTCAGGTCACAGAGTTACAGAGCAGGTGGAGGCAGGTGCAGACCCACCTGAAACCTCAAGTGTTCAGGAGGGAGAGGGATTGGGTGTGTCCACAAGGGAGTGTGAGGAGAAGGGTTTTCATAGGTGACGGGCTTGACCATATTTGAGTCTGAGGAGGGGTAGGCAGACAATGTTGCTGGACTTCACAGGGCTGAGAGCCAGGTAAGGGGTGGGTCAAGTAGGACACAGCACAAGGGGCTCTTTCTCTGAGCCTGGCACAACGAAAGCTGAAGACAAAAGTCCTTTGAAGAAAAGGTAGAGAGGAGGAAATGTAATGAGGTTGTGCCCCACAGGTCTTTTTCAGGTGAAGTGGGAAACGGTCTCTGCCAAGAATAAAGGAGAGCCAGCATGAGAAGTGGAAATGAGCAGAATGCCTATCTCTGCGAGGCCCTGATTGAGATGATGCCCATAAGTCTGTCGTGAAGTACCGATCCATGGGGTTTGGATGTTCTTCCCTGTGCAGTGGTGTCGTTAGCTGGCTTTGCAGGGTTGGG